TTGATTCATATTTTTCATATAAAACACACCTCCATGGTCTACCATAAAATCAAAATATATATACCCTTATAGACAAATTAAACAAGTAACTTATCATTTGGTGATAACAGTAAATATAATACTTAGATGTTAAAAAAAATTAATAATGCCTACACCAAAGATCCCAAGAAAATTTACCATGTGACACAGATTTTGTACTTGAGTTGTCTCATAAACGTATGGATTGTTGTTGAAACGATGACATGGTAAGCAGCCACGTTAAATATTAATAGCAAAGGGCTTCCCATTTTCTCATATTGTTAATTATTTACTTTTCTTAACCTTGTTTATATTATTTATATTGCCTGGAGTATAATGCATCTAATTGCATTACATAATGAGATTACCAGGTTGGTTAGCTTTAACAACAGACCCTCAGAGAGTCCCATAATAGAGGCTTCTAGTCAACTACATGGCCATCCATTTGGATTGTGGCTAATGAATGTGAAAAGCAGTATTTTCTCTTCTTTCTTTCTTTTTTTCTTTCTTTCTTCTTTCTTTCTTCTTTCTTTTAGAAACAATACTTTCAAGGAGATTTTGGGCCCACCAAATAAAAGCCAGACCCATATGATCTGCCTTCAATTTGAAATCAGTAAAAAAAAAAAAAAATATTATGAGGGAGACATTGGCATTCTTCAGTGAAAGAGTGAAGGAAGATGCTTATCAAGACCTTCAGATTGGTGAAACAATCTTGAGTGAGTATGAAAATATTCACAATTTTGCCTAGGGACAGTTCTCATTGCTAAGTGATAATGGCACATTCTGGGCTGTCACTTCTCAGTATCATAGGTTTTCATAATTTAGCTAAGAGATAAAGTTTTCCTCCTCAAGAAAGGCAGGAAAGAGATCTCCTGAGACCCAGTTTATAACTTAATCTGGCTGACCCAGCCATTTTTACAGGTAGCCAGAACAAGCCAATTTTGACTGCCATTATCCTCTGTGCCTAAAAGAATGGAGAAGACCAGTAGAAGTCAGAAACAGCTATTCTTGAGTGACATCGAAACTAAAACAGATCTTGACCTCCCAAGGAGGATAGGTATTCTGAGGCTGACCATGCTATTAACTTAAAATCTACTCCATGCAAAAGCAATTCTGAAATGTCAACAAAGGTTAAACTTCCTTATGATTAGAGAAGTACCTACTGTTTTCATTCGTGGGTCAATATTGGTTTTGGGTTTTAAACAATCCTAAATCATCAGGGTAACTAGCCTTCCTTCTTTTGACATGCTCTAAGAAATTTTTGATGTGCTTAAATCTCCTATTTACCATAATACCTCCATTCACCTCAGTGTGTAATTGCAGAGAACTTTTCAGTTTCAGCAACTTCTATGTATCAAATACTCTTCTCTGTGCTCTCAATATAAAGATAAATAAAACACACTAGCTTATAGGAAAACATCCACCAGATGAGCAGCAACTCTTCATTGCATTTACTTCAATGCAGTGAATGAATGACCTCATAAGGCAGAGTAAGTTCTCACAAGCTGAATGTCAGTGATGTTCATTACTAAGTGAGAACACAATTAGAAACACTTGCTACTAATAGTGTGAACATATTCTTCTGTTACACGATGTCCTTATAACACATTTTAATTTCTCAGGAAAAAAAAACCTCTTTCAATGTTTTAAATGAGATCTGATGTGTCTGGGTAAGTTTCAGCAAATACCTTGGCTTAATTTTCTCTAGCATTTATACTATCTTCAGTAAACAATCATTATCAATATTAGCATAATATACTAAGTGCTGAAGAGAAGTTAAAAACCTATAAAAGGGGCTCTTTTAGAAAAAAATGGAAGTCATGGTTCAGAAAATTTCTGTTCTATACTCTGTTAGTTTAGGTTGAAACTTGAAATTTGCATCTTCATAAAGTGATTTAAGACCCACATTTTGGTGCTATTCTTTGACTTGGGACTGTAGGTGAAGGAGGATACCCTTCACTCAAGCTGTGGAGTTATTTCTGAAATGATATTATTAAGTGCCCTCAGGGACAAGATGTAGTTGAAAGGATGCTCAAGTATTTAATTAGTATTCAAAATGCCCAGTCCACTTTATCTGGCAACTATATAGATTAGTTTAAGGGAGTTGGTACCCAAAATGATTTTGTGATATGCAAATAAAATGAATATATGTATATTTATTCCATGAAGCATTACTAAACCTCTAAAATATTAAACATGGACTTATATATAATGAGTGGGTGTGAGAAAGCAAATATTAAACATAAATAGTTTAAACCAATAAAGAATTTCTCTGGAAAGAATAAACAGTAAGTGACTATTTGAGGGGTAGAAGAGGAGTGGGAATAAAGGACAGATTAAAGCTTCCTTGCTTAATTGTTTATAAATTATTGTTAAGAGACAAACAAAATTCTCTCTATGCCCAAATTATGTAATTTATCCGAAGTGTGCAGGCTCCTCTGTTCAGTAATGCTGATAACGACACTAATAGCTTAATTACAACTTGCTGCTCAAGGAGATAAACAAGGCTGTTTGCTTTTTAAACCAGGGGTTACAATTACTTTTAAACGCGGGGGAAAGGCACATCTGCGAGTAGATCTCACTACGTCAGGAAAGCAACCAGAAACCAGCTGGAAAATAAACAAAGCGCCAAGAGTGAGCAGCCTGCACAAAATTAGAGCAGAACTGCCTGATTTGAGCAGTGGAGTAGTAGGCGTGAGGCGTAGTAAACAGGCGGTAAATGTAGGTGGGCAGGGATAGAAAAGTTTTCGGTGGCTAGATCTTCTGTGTTTTCCCTGGGATTCCATCATTTGGAGGGACTGGGCACCCCTCCCCCGCTTACAGTCATGTCTCTGTCACACAGTCCTTCGCTTCAGCACCACAGAGAGAGGACAGCTCCCCTAACCGCAGAACACAGCCCACTGCAGTCGCCCTCCCTTCTTTCCAACATCCTCCGGATGGCATTTCTCTTTCTTGCTGGTGTCTTTCTTGATTTTGCTTTTAGGGGGATTCTAAGGGACATTTGGAAGGGACTGGGAGCTTGTTGGGCTTGTTTATTTCCAGATTAAAGGCAGACTAGTCTTGTCTGAAAAGTCCAATCTTTTAATTGGTCTCCAGAGTAATTCAACCAGAATAAAAGATTGCAAGTCACTGGATTTAATCTGGTGGCAAAATGGCTCAACCCAACTCAGGAGTGGCTGAAACTTGAAGCTCCCTTTTAGTGTTTTATGTTCTTGTTTTGTTGTAAAAGTAAAACAAGGTAAACAACCTTTATTAACTGCCACTCTAGCGCTTTTTCTCCTGTGCTAAGCCAAAGACATTAAGGAATATACCAGAGTGTGGTAGCAAAGGGGTCAGTGGTACAATTTCTAATATCACTCAGTGAGAAAACAATCTCAGTCATAAAAGAAACTCTTCTCAGTCCTTCTGAAGACTCCTCACAACCACATCCTGAATCTGGAACATACAAGTGAACGATGAAGAGTTCCATAATGAGACCATAGGCTACTACAGCATGCCACAAAAATGGCCAAAGCTTCCCCCAATAAAGACCTCATTTCCCAGCCCTAAATCCAGAGGAAAACATTTTAGGAGTAACAAGGAGCATATGATCAAAATCCCAAATCACCAAGACAGGAAAATAACACTCCAAGGACCTTGGCCACTTTGGTACTTTCAAATTGCCATTCTTCCAGTTGTGAAGATATGGGTACGTGGCCACCACATCTTGTTTCTCTACTCAGAGTTTTCTCTTTTGTCCAAACTTCTCAATAGTGTATACAGTACTTATCATTTGAAGGTCCTCTTTGCTCCAACACATGCACACACATACTTTGATTCTTTTCCATTTCCAGGGATTTAGTTTTCTAAAGAAAAAGGCATTAACTGGTTTCAAACCTATTTTGAGGGAGGGTCTTCAGAAAAATGCCCTCACTCTTTGCACTGGAATTGCTAGAATATTGAGGGACTCTAGAAAGGAAGAGACACAACCTGGGGAGCTTAGGAGGCATTCAGAAAAGGCAGCACTATGAAATTAGTGGTGAACAACTTCCTCCCAGTGATAGTGACCATCTACTAGTAACAGAGGGTGAAGTCGGCCTGTGAATCTGGAGCAGCTGCAGCAGAGCGGACAGCAGACATTGGGTGCCTCTTATCAGGTACCCTGAGAGGTCTCAAGTGAAGCAGTTTGATTTTCTGAATCCCTCAGTCCTTTCTATTGCCCCTTCTTCCTTCCCTCCATCCCTTCTTCCCTCCCTCTCTATCCTCCTCCCTCCCACCTTCCTCCCTCCTTTACCTCAGTTGTCCTTTTCACTTAATTCCATCTGGGCCAATTTGGGCACCGGTACCAGTGACAAAATCAAATCACCTAACATGTATCCTATGGACCGTGTTATTACTATCATCATCCTTAGGGTTGCTCTCCAACTGCTTGGTGAAAGCATAAGGTCCTGTTCCTAGCTGTCAACCCCCCACTCTCTCCCCAGCCCACACCCCAGCAGTGGTATCAACCCAGCAAAATCACCAGTCTGAATGTCACCAAGTTCCACCCTGTAGTAGCCCTGCCAGCAAACCTCACCAGCAGAGCCTTGCCAGACCCTCCGCCCACAGCCAGGGCACTCGCATCCCGATCCAGCTCTTGGTGATTCCTAAGATCATTGTTACCACTGACAACACTTTCTTCTCATGGAAGAGGAAAGCCCGCGTGTGACTCCTGGGCGGATGTAGGGCTCCACGCACTACCCTCCCCCACCTCCGCAACACACACACACGCACACATACACACACACACACACACACACACACACACCCCTCCGAATACCGGCGACACAAAGAGCGAGAGAGCGAGCCCGGCGCCCGGCTGGGTAGGAAGGGGGGCGGGAGGGAGGGCACTGCCGGGAGGGGGACACCCAAGGAGGGGCAGGGGGCTGAGCCAGCCGGCGAGGAGGGAAGGGAGACGAGGAAGCCGGGTGGGGGAGAGAGCAAGGCGAGAGGGTCGTCCTTACCTGCCCCTAGGTTGAAGGAGATCCTGGCTTCGGCGAGGTACGGCGTGTCGCTCTTGGAGCGGACTCTTCTGATGGGCCGCCGGTCTATATCATCCTCCGAAGATGCCGCCATTAATGTGGGAGGCAGGAGCAGGGTCGCCCGGCGAGCTGAGAGGGAGAAGGAGATGGAGAGAGAGAGGGAGAGAGGCGGAAAAGGGAAGGAGGGGAAAGGAAGAGGCTCACACACGGGGAGGGGGAGGGGAGAGGGGGATGGGAGAGGAAGGGAAGGGGACGGGGAGGGAGGGGGAAAAGAGGGGAAAAAGGAAAAAAAAAGAGGGAGAGAGAAAGAAAGAGAGCAAAGGAGAGAAAAGGGTGAAGGGAGAGAAAGAAAATCCGTTAAGGATTTCCGGACTGGAGCAGAGATCAGGCTATCCCAGGCTTGCGCCCAGGGCTCCCCTAACTCCTCTTGCAGCCACAGGGCCAATGGGTCAGTGTTCCTGATTGACACCCCGCCTCCTGCCCGCAGCCCCAGTTTTCAGCTGTTGGCACAGATAGGCTGATGAGAAAGGGAAGACTCCAAAGCAAAGATGCTCAGTCAGCACTGTGCCCTCTCCCGCCAAACGCACTTACTCTGCTCTTCAAGTGCACACTAGGGTCTCCTTAGCCCACAGGATTCTCCAGACAGAGGATGCCTGGCCAGATATAAAAACTTCAGCTTTCCTTGCGTGGAATTATTATTGCTGGAGTGCAAGCCCCTGGTGGTCACTGAGGAGGGCTCTGCAAACAGGGTACCCCTCCGCTCCCTCTTTCCCAAACCGGAGCTCAAACAAAGATGCAACCAGAGCTGCAATCCTCAGAAGCTGTCTTACCTGCCCCCTTGAACCCTGGAGGTGGAGGATAGAAGAAAAGTATATACAAGTTTGGGAGGAGTTCAGCAATAAAGTTTTCAGAGTTGATGCTTTGAATGTAGACTAGGCATATTCACACAGAATTGAGTGACCCTCCTCTAAAATCACTAACTTCTCGGATGTGTTTATGTCTACATAAATATCCATTCATTTTAACCTTTAACTTTCTCTTTATTTGGTAACTTCGGCGACAAATAATGGTCTTTGCGTTGGACCTGTAGTCTCTATAACCTTGTGCCATTGAGGTGAAGATCAAGGGTGCTTTACATTTCTTTGAATGTTTGCACTGCAACCTTCCCACATTACACAGCACAGAAGGAAGTAGAAAGGTTTCTGGAGTGTGAATCAGAATGGTTTGATGCTCCTACTGAATCTATTGATGGGCTAAACTCTTTGATGTTTGTCTTTCTACAGCCTCAGTCACTTGGTCTTTTTGTAGCCTGATGTTGCCACTCTCTAATAAGAGCTCACCTGGAGTACACAGATAAACGTTGCCTTGATTCCCTCCCTGCTACAAAAAAGATCTCAGGGTCAAGTCATACCCTTCAATCTCAGAGGAAGAAGTGCTGCCCCAGCTCTGCAAGACTTCCCTCTGCACTTCAGCTGTCAGTTCAAACTCTTGCACCCTAGAATTTTCAGTCTCTCCACACGGGTCTTTTTACTTCACACATAGCTAGTAATTCTTCATCTTAGGAAAAATATAGCTGCCCTTGGCCTCACTGCTTTCTCAATCTCTACGAGACTATTTCCTTCCCATTCTGCTAAAGCTTCCCATGGAACGCTTGCCCCACAGGCTCCATGTCTTCACCCTCAGTTCCCTCTTTCATCCCCACCACTAGTTTCTATCCCCGTCACCCAAACAAAGTTATTTTAGTGGTCATCATATCCTTTTAACAGTTAAATCCATTTCTTTGTTGTCTGCTCTGAAGTACATAGCAAACTATTCTTGAAGTAATCTCCTCCTTTGGCTTTCTGTACTAGATGTCCTTCCGAATCCTTCAGTTTCCAATTGTTTGCCAATTATCTGCATAGTTAATTTGAAATTGCTTATCCTGGCATGCGGAGCCCTTCACAAACTGACTTTAACATGTTTTTCCAAACACATCCCCCATTATTTGCTTCCAGTCTGCTCAGATTTGTCCCAGTCTGGCTTACTTCTGCATCTACACCTTTGCTTGTGTCACATGCCACAAATTTCTTCCCTATAAACTTTCCATGTTCTCCCTCAGCAATGTCAGATAACTCGTCCACTAATCTACAGCATGAACCCAGTACATAGTAAATGCTCAGTAGATATCTTTTAACAGAAGAAGGGAGGAGAAGAGAGGGAGGGGTAAGGAGAGAAGCGAAAGAAGGAGTTGTTACATAAGTAATGAGTAGTAGTAAGGAGTGAACTGGGGACCAAACCTATGTCTGCTTGATTTTAAATCCTGTGTCCTTAACTAGTATATTAGTTTGCTAAGTGTATGTATTTGGTTGCCTAGCCACACTTAAAATTCACTTTTCTATGACTTTTGCCTCATGATTATGTCCCGTTTATCTCTGTTAAACATTGATTAAAAGTGGATGTTTCCTCTCCCAGGAGGTACAACAGAAGTCTTTGGCTCATCAAATGAACCATGAAGGTTAATGCTTTTACATGGCTAGTCAGGTTGCAAACAAATATTATGATTGTAACATTTAGGTTCAGGCTCTTAAGGAAGTGCAAAAGTAAGGAAATTGAGTCCAACAATTCTGAATACTGTAAAAACTCCACCTCTCTTTGAATTAAGGCAGTACCACTTGATTGTTCAAAATATTTGGGATTCTCCACCCCGTTGTATTTTCATTCTTCAACCATGTCTTAAAAATAAAACCCAGTAGGTCATTTGAAGAAACACCTAGCCCTAGCTTTCCCTGTGTTTCTTTGATTTTACATTTAATGGTTCTTGATATAGAGAAGTACATCTTTGGATTTCTAGATCTTCTTCCTTCAGCATTTTAGAAGATTAAGAACTTAACTTTGCCATTACTTTAGGTATAATTTTCTTTAAAGGAGTCTAAATGTACTTTCATACAATTTCATTATGGACATTTTATTATTGAAACAATTCTAGTTAGATACACTTTTGACAAAAATGACATAAAAATATTACATCTGTCTACATGTTCTTGAATTAATTTATCGTATTTTTATTTCTATTATCTTCCATTTTTTGACTTCCTTAATTTACTGTTTCTTTGTTTCACTAGTTTTTCCCATTTCCTTTTCACTTTGCCTCCTTTCTCACATCTTTCTTACAATTTGTTCACAAAATTGATCCCATTTCATGTAGCTCCCTCTCATCCTGCATGAAGGACTCACTTCTGTGGGTTTGTTCTGATGTATACACATTCTTTATTCTCTGGGATTCCATTCATATATGTGATCTCTTATCATAAACTATCTGAGTGACATCAGGCAAGAAGCTCTGGGGTGCAATCTGGGATGCTGGATGCTGTGCCCAGTACTACCACTACCTCACCAAGTAACACTGGGCAAGTCACTCACTCTACCAGGTTGGATCTGTCACGTCAGCTATAAAAATGGCAGGGTCAGTTAATACAATCATAAAGGCCCCGCCCAGCTCTAATACTCTATGATATTTGCAGCTATTTTTCTATCTCTTCTTCCTTCCATGAATTTCCATGGCATATTTTGTCCCTTAATCTAAGAAAATATATTGTTCCTTTGATTTGGAACTAACCATATTTGGGAAACCACATGGTATCCATATTTCTTTCAAGTGATTTCATATTATTCAAGTTTTATTTTATACAACTGTGCATCCTTTAGAATCTGTTTTTTTCCCCTCATACTGTTTCAAACATCATGTGGCAACACCCCTATGACTGTTTGTATGTGTGCATGTGTGGGTGTGGGTGTGTATATAGAAAGAACTGAATTCAACTGTGATCTCAACAACTTTTGAATATACTTTTAAAAAAAGATTTCTTCTTTTTGAGTAGGACTGCTGACTCAGGGTGAGGATTTTTTTCTTTTCTAAAGCCAGTCAACATTTTAACACTGAAGACCCATACATGCATGTTATATCCAGACCTAGAGACAGAGAAAGAGAAGCAGCAAAATAGAGTGCTCAAAAAAGTAATATTTTATACATCTATCACTAGCATGGAAGAAGATGAAGGCGGGAAGAGAAGGAAGAAAGAAGAGAGCAATAATCCATCCTAATCAAGAAAACTCTTCAGGTAAGTGAAACTTTAAAAATATTACTCAAAGTGTGTTTTTAGGACACCCCTACATTTATATCACTTAGAATACTTGTTAAAATGTAGATTTTCAAGGCCCCCAACCTGGACTTTCTGAATTTTGAGGGGATGAGACCTGGGTACCTAGGTTTTCAAAAGGCTCCTAACTTTGTCCATTCTCACCACTTGTAGTCAACATTATACTGGCAGTCTTGGTCAGTGTAGTGATTTAAGTAAAAGAAAAGAAATTAGAAAGATACAATGATTGGAAAACAAGAATAAAATTGTGATTAGTCATATATGTCATGATAGTGTACATATAGAATCTATAAGAATCCAGACTATTAGAAATAATAAGTGAATTTGACAACATCACTAATACAATAGCAGCATAAAACATCAATTTTGTTTCAACATACTGACAAAATTAGAATATATAATTTTAAAAGAACCATTTACAGTAGTATCATAACCATCAAATACTTATGAATAAATCTCACAAAAGATGAGCAGGACCTCTACATGAAAAACTACAAAACATTCCTGAAAGAAATTAAGAAGACCTAAATAAATGAGGAGGGATGACTAAACCATTCTCATGCTCATGGATTAAAAGACATACTATGGAAAGGCATCCGTCTCTTCAAATTGGTCTATAGATTCAGTGAAATTCCAGTTAAAATTCAAGCTTTTTTTTTTAAATTGACAAGCTGATTCTAAAATTTGTATGACAATGCAAAGGGATAAGACTAGCCTTATCATGACAAATAAGAAAATAGCTGGAGGATTTACAGTAGAAGATACCAAGAATTACTATAAAGGTATAGAATTCAAAAACAAAGTAGGATAATTAGACAAATGGAAGAGAACAGAGAATTTAAAAATAGACCCATATATAAACAGTCACCTGATTATGACAAGAATCCCACTGTAGTATTGTGAGGGAAAGATGGACTTTTCAATAAATGGTGCTTGATCACTTAGATAGTCATATGGTGGAAAACAAACCTTGATCCCTATCTCACATCATAC